GCTTCAGCAGCGCCTCCACGTCCGGCTTAGCGTTCGTCGGCATTTGGGCGGTGAAGTCTGCAATGTGTCGCTGAGTGTGTAGGACGGCGGTCTCGCGAAACGCACGGGGGCCGGAAAAGAGCAGCGGAGGTGGAAAGAAGGAAAGATGCGCCGGTGTGGCTGGCGGTGTGGCAGAGAGAGAGGCGAGGCAGCGGTGGGAAGAGGAGCGGACGGTAAACGAATGGGGATGGGCGCACACGTGCGACGCCGATTGGGTGTGCACAGCAGCACACGGAAGCAACGCGGCACGTATCGCGGAGAAGGGGAAAGGGCGGAAGGGTAAAGGCGGGGTGTGTCAGCTGCGTGGGAGGGGGTCAAAGGAAAAGAGGACCCGGGCTCAGGAGGAGAACGCGCACCGGAGGTCGCCCCGCACACACACCGACGGCCTCGCACGTGCCCTGCGCTGGCGACCACGCACGGGAAGGCACGCAGCGCACGCACCTGCACTCAAGAAAAGCAGTACACGCCGAGGTTGGGCACAAGCACCGCACCAGCCCGCCCGATGCGGAGAGGCAGCAGCAGTGGAGGGCCCGCCTCGCTCCTCAACGCCAGCCGTAGCGTTGCATTGCAGCACCACAAACGTTTCCATTGAAATAGAGTTCGGATGACCCCTGCGGGCTCTGCACTTCACACACACACACACACACACACACACGCACGCCGGCCCAGTGGCTACACACGCGCCTCGGGAGACGACACATGCAGGCGGGGGAACGGCGACACGGAGCAACGCAGCGGCGCCGAAGTGAACACTTTAGCCAGAAGAAGAGAAAAAATAGAAATCATTATTACAGTAGTAATAGTAGCGCCTACGAACACACACCGGGAAAGGAGGGGACAGCCGTTACGGCACTCGTCGTTGGATGTTTGTCGTGGCCCGCACACGCACACGGCGACACCCACTTGACGGATCCAAACCGCGAAGTAGCATGGAGGTGAATAGAAAAAGACGGAGTTAATAAAAACAATAATAATAATAATAATAGAGGGTTCTCTGCAGAAGTGAAACACGAGAATAGAAGCCAATGAGCGGGGCCCCATGAGCTATCCAGGTGAGACACTATGCCCACCGGAACCGTATGAGAGTAACCTGGGAAGGTAGCGAGCCAGACTCGAACAAGCGCTCCTCCATCACTCAGACACACATATACTCCCACACACCGCAGCACCAGCTGCAGCGCGGCGCATTACGTCTACCGCGCAGCGAGGGTCGGGTAGTCGTTGTAGCCCACCATGTCGTGCGTGTAGAACGTTGCAACGACCGGCGTGTTCAGCTCCGCACCGGCGATGGCGCGGGCAACCAGGTCGGGGTTCGCCAACGCCTTCACGCCGAACACCACAGCCTCCGCCTCGCCGCTCGCAACCGTCTGCGCCGCCTCCTCGATCTCGAAGCCCATCCCCGTGAACAGCACGCCCTCGTACGTCTCGCGGGCCCACTTGTCCGCGCCGCGCGCAGGCGAGAAGAAGTCGCCGCGCATGACGTCCAGGAAGGCGAGCTTGCGCGAGTTCAGCTCCCGGCAGATGTACTTCGTCAGCGCCTCCGGGTCCTCGTCCGACTGAGCGTTGAACGAGTTCAGCGGCGAGATGCGCAGTGCCGTCCGCTCGTGGCCAACAGCAGCAACCACCGCATCCACAACCTCGAACAGGAAGCGGCACCGGTTCTCGATGCTGCCGCCGTACTCGTCCGTGCGCTTGTTCGACGACGTCTTCAGGAACTGGTCGATCAGGTACCCGTTCGCACCGTGGACCTCCACCCCGTCAAACCCAGCCGCCATCGCGTTGTGCGCCGCCGTCGCGTACAGCTGCACGTACTCCGCGATCTCGCTCTTCGTCAGCGCCGCCGGCACGGGGTAGTGCTGCTTCTTGCCGTCCACAGCGAACAGCGCAGGCGAGTCGTGGCCCTCAATCGCAATGGCAGAAGGCGCGATCACCTTCAGGCCCTCCGTCACGTTGCACGGCACCGTCGCGCGGCCGCCGTTGTGGATTTGGCAGTAGATCAGCCCGCCCTTCGCGTGCACCGCGTCCGTCACCTTCCTCCACCCGGCGATCTGCTCCGGGCCGTAGATGCCGGCCTCGAACCCGAACGTCGAATAGCCCTTCTGGATCTGCGTCGCCTCCGTGAGGATCAGCCCCATCGACGCGCGGTCAGAGTAGTACTTCACCATGTCCGCCGTCGGCACGTGGTCCGTGTTTGCGCGGCAGCGCGTCAGCGGCGCCATCACGAAGCGGTTCGCCATCGTCAGGCGGCCGATCTTCAGCGGCTTCAGCAGCGCCTCCACGTCCGGCTTAGCGTTCGTCGGCATTTGGGCGGTGAAGTCTGCAATGTGTCGCTGAGTGTGTAGGACGGCGGTCTCGCGAAACGCACGGGGGCCGGAAAAGAGCAGCGGAGGTGGAAAGAAGGAAAGATGCGCCGGTGTGGCTGGCGGTGTGGCAGAGAGAGAGGCGAGGCAGCGGTGGGAAGAGGAGCGGACGGTAAACGAATGGGGATGGGCGCACACGTGCGACGCCGATTGGGTGTGCACAGCAGCACACGGAAGCAACGCGGCACGTATCGCGGAGAAGGGGAAAGGGCGGAAGGGTAAAGGCGGGGTGTGTCAGCTGCGTGGGAGGGGGTCAAAGGAAAAGAGGACCCGGGCTCAGGAGGAGAACGCGCACCGGAGGTCGCCCCGCACACACACCGACGGCCTCGCACGTGCCCTGCGCTGGCGACCACGCACGGGAAGGCACGCAGCGCACGCACCTGCACTCAAGAAAAGCAGTACACGCCGAGGTTGGGCACAAGCACCGCACCAGCCCGCCCGATGCGGAGAGGCAGCAGCAGTGGAGGGCCCGCCTCGCTCCTCAACGCCAGCCGTAGCGTTGCATTGCAGCACCACAAACGTTTCCATTGAAATAGAGTTCGGATGACCCCTGCGGGCTCTGCACTTCACACACACACACACACACACACACACGCACGCCGGCCCAGTGGCTACACACGCGCCTCGGGAGACGACACATGCAGGCGGGGGAACGGCGACACGGAGCAACGCAGCGGCGCCGAAGTGAACACTTTAGCCAGAAGAAGAGAAAAAATAGAAATCATTATTACAGTAGTAATAGTAGCGCCTACGAACACACACCGGGAAAGGAGGGGACAGCCGTTACGGCACTCGTCGTTGGATGTTTGTCGTGGCCCGCACACGCACACGGCGACACCCACTTGACGGATCCAAACCGCGAAGTAGCATGGAGGTGAATAGAAAAAGACGGAGTTAATAAAAACAATAATAATAATAATAATAGAGGGTTCTCTGCAGAAGTGAAACACGAGAATAGAAGCCAATGAGCGGGGCCCCATGAGCTATCCAGGTGAGACACTATGCCCACCGGAACCGTATGAGAGTAACCTGGGAAGGTAGCGAGCCAGACTCGAACAAGCGCTCCTCCATCACTCAGACACACATATACTCCCACACACCGCAGCACCAGCTGCAGCGCGGCGCATTACGTCTACCGCGCAGCGAGGGTCGGGTAGTCGTTGTAGCCCACCATGTCGTGCGTGTAGAACGTTGCAACGACCGGCGTGTTCAGCTCCGCACCGGCGATGGCGCGGGCAACCAGGTCGGGGTTCGCCAACGCCTTCACGCCGAACACCACAGCCTCCGCCTCGCCGCTCGCAACCGTCTGCGCCGCCTCCTCGATCTCGAAGCCCATCCCCGTGAACAGCACGCCCTCGTACGTCTCGCGGGCCCACTTGTCCGCGCCGCGCGCAGGCGAGAAGAAGTCGCCGCGCATGACGTCCAGGAAGGCGAGCTTGCGCGAGTTCAGCTCCCGGCAGATGTACTTCGTCAGCGCCTCCGGGTCCTCGTCCGACTGAGCGTTGAACGAGTTCAGCGGCGAGATGCGCAGTGCCGTCCGCTCGTGGCCAACAGCAGCAACCACCGCATCCACAACCTCGAACAGGAAGCGGCACCGGTTCTCGATGCTGCCGCCGTACTCGTCCGTGCGCTTGTTCGACGACGTCTTCAGGAACTGGTCGATCAGGTACCCGTTCGCACCGTGGACCTCCACCCCGTCAAACCCAGCCGCCATCGCGTTGTGCGCCGCCGTCGCGTACAGCTGCACGTACTCCGCGATCTCGCTCTTCGTCAGCGCCGCCGGCACGGGGTAGTGCTGCTTCTTGCCGTCCACAGCGAACAGCGCAGGCGAGTCGTGGCCCTCAATCGCAATGGCAGAAGGCGCGATCACCTTCAGGCCCTCCGTCACGTTGCACGGCACCGTCGCGCGGCCGCCGTTGTGGATTTGGCAGTAGATCAGCCCGCCCTTCGCGTGCACCGCGTCCGTCACCTTCCTCCACCCGGCGATCTGCTCCGGGCCGTAGATGCCGGCCTCGAACCCGAACGTCGAATAGCCCTTCTGGATCTGCGTCGCCTCCGTGAGGATCAGCCCCATCGACGCGCGGTCAGAGTAGTACTTCACCATGTCCGCCGTCGGCACGTGGTCCGTGTTTGCGCGGCAGCGCGTCAGCGGCGCCATCACGAAGCGGTTCGCCATCGTCAGGCGGCCGATCTTCAGCGGCTCCAGCAGCGCCTTGACATTGGTAGGTTGTGGATACATGTTGTCTGCAGGGAAACTTGCATAAGATGCGTCTCTTGTGTGTGTGTGTGTGTGTGTGTGTGTGTCTTGCTTGGTCGTGAGGAAAGCAGCAATGATCGTCGTTGTCAGGGCGGAGGAAGACTGGAAAGTCAGCCAAGTCAAACCTGTGGCACAAGATGGAAGAATAGAAGAAGGCGGTAGAGCAGTAACAAGAAGAAAAGAACGCAGCCGTGGATGCAGCCGTTTGCGGGACCTTTCTCACTGTACCGGTTGAAGGGCAGCGATAGGGTTGCAAGACACAAACGAGAGGACGAATCATCGGTGATTACTTTGAGGTGGATGGAGAAGGTCATCGAAGCGCGAGGGGCGTGAGTTTGGCAGCCTCATGTTGTGAGCATCAGGAGGATAGAAACAAAACGGAATGGTCCAAGACGAGCAGGTGCGATACGAGCCGGCTCCAAACTTCCCTGGCACGCTGCAATAGGTCCGATCTCGGGTGGGTGTTGGTGCGTGCTTGGTCGTATTCGAACTGCAGTAGGTAAGATGATGATACGGCATCGAGTCGCACTTGTGACGCGAGAATACACAGCATGGAGGGCTGTCTGGTGGCGGGTGGGATTCCTTTCTTGGGCCGCCGGCGGGGCGGTGTTGGGGAAAAAGAAAAACATACGACGGGCGGGGATTGAACCCGCGATCTCTCGCGTGTGAGGCGAATGTCCTAACCACTAGACGACCATCGCTGCGCGGTCCTCCTCTTTTTCAACTCCACCCCTCCATCTTTCGCTGTCATCACAAGGAAGAAAAAAAAACAATAAACAGCGTGACGTCTGCAACGCCGTGACCTTTTCCGCTGCGGCGTCCTGCAGTCGTTTCGCGTGCATCTGCAAGCGCAAGATGAAGGACCAAGGAGGAGGTGAAGGGCGGCACGACTCAGGCAATTCTTGTTTCCACCGCACTCTCCCCGCCTCCCCCCCCCCCCTTCCCCCCTGACGGCGTCGTGTCGCGATATCACCGTGCTGCTGTTGACATGTGATACGGCTGTGCCTTCGTGAGCGCCGCTACCCTTCCTGCATCCGCCGCTGCTGCGCGAAGTCAACCACAACAATAGAAGGAGAAAGAATGGAAGAGAAAAGAAATGCGCCGTTAAACTTTCGCGAGTTTCATGTCTGAGATACAATAATTCAAGATGCGTGTGAAGGGGGAGAAGGGGGGATGCTTGTGTAGGAGGACAGCCACGCCCCACTGCGTCCGTTGAGAACTGAAGGATGCGGTAAGGTAATGGGGAAAGGCGATAGAGGGAGAACAAATAGCGGAGGAGAGAGGGAGAGAGAATGAAGGAGTGCCATTGAGCGTGTGTGTCGCTTCCTTTGCCAATTAGATACACGCAAGTCAGCAACGCCCGGTCTTGTGGTGCGATATATATATGGTGAGCAAGCGCAGCACGAAGGCGAGGCGCCGTGTGTACTGCTGTCACTCGGCCGGCCAACACTCGCTCCGCATCCCACGCCAGTGGACAGGCAGGCCAGTCTCTCTCCCCTTCGCCCGCCCTCGATGGCGTGCTGTTGGCGTAGATGTCCCCTTTTTTGTCTTCCCTTCACTTCGTCGTGCTGCGACGGGTGGGAATCGAACCGACACAGGAGCAAACACACAAAAAAGAAAAAGAAAAAGAAAGTGGTTCACGCGATCCAACCTGGAAACGAGCTACGCATTTCCCTTCTCTACTGTACCTTCAACCCTTCTTGATCGGGGCACGGACAAGCCGCATGGAAAGTGCCTTGAAGAACTCCGCTAAGCAACACAACGCAAGTCCCTCTGTCCGCCTTACACTCAAAAGACCGAAGAAGGAGGTACACGTGGAGCCTTTTACAAATATATATATATATATAGATAGATAGATAGATAGATAGATATTGAAGAGGTAAGAAAGGAGGAAGTAAGAGGAGAGGAGGGCACGAACAGCCTTCATCGCCGACCCAGCCGTGCGTACCGGGGTGGCGTGGGCCCTTCGATGCGTTCGTTCCTCCTCCGCTTGTTCCGCCTCTCTCTCCTCCACAAGACAGCACCACACCGTACGTAAGAAGAAAGATAACTATTCAAAAACAGCAGAGTATTAAGAACGCGGCGAAGATGTACAACAGGCGCGAGAGAGAAAAACAGGAGGGAAAAGTATCAACGCAAAATAAGAAAGGGTCACTTGAGGAAAAATAGAAGAAGGAGGACCCGCACGCACCACGGCAGTGAAGTGACGCCCCACCGTTTATTCACTCGTTTGCTGCCACTTGCGTCAGTGTGGTGTGTGGTGTGGTGGTGTGTCACTCGTGCATCTCAGGAAAATAACTACTAGTAGAATTCATATGTATATAGGCTGTGAAAACAGGAGAAATATTGAAAACCAGAAAAGCGCACAAATAAAGCGGGCGGGGTATATCTGTTGCGGTGGGCTCGTGCCCCACCCGGAATCGGGAACGGGGGGGGGGGGGAAGAAAAAGGCTACGCAGACGCTTCCAGGGTGGGTGGGTGCGGCGGGCTTGCGTCGCACATGACGAAACCCCTCGCTCGCTTGGTTGGCTGGATTCTGTTGCGCGTCGACGTGGCAAGTTGAATTGTGCGCCGCGATGATTGAAGACAGGACATGAACGGTTCACCATTTTTTTTCTTTTGGAACTTACGGCGCCGCGTAGGCGGCCGAGCGCGGAGCGAGAGAGAGAAAGAACAAAAGAAAAAGTAAGAAGTAAGAAGTATTACGTGCTCCGTAGAAAAACTCCGTTGTCGCAACGGTCGCGAGCACAAGAGACACTCGCGCCCATTCTGCACTCTTCTCCGCCTACACTGTCCGAACAGGGAAAATAAAAATAAATATAGAAAACGATACTACAATAAACGAAACCAGCAATAAGAATAATAGTATTTTGCCGCGTTTGGGTGATGTCGATGCCGCAGCGGTGACTCATACTACGGTGCCGGTCAGAATCCAGTAGTGAAGAACAAAACAAATGGCGCTGACTGCACACTTCGGTCCCCCATCGGGACTTCAACGCAACCGGGTAATGAAACCGACAGTTGCGCAAATCTACGAAAAGCATACAACGTCTAACAACAATACTCCTCGGCGTTGGTGCTACTGCATCAGCCGCTCCTGCACAAAGCCAACGTGGAGCCGCACGCCAGTCAGGAACGCCTTCTCATCGATCTTTACACGCGCGGAGTGCAGCGAGCAGGCCCCGTAGCCCTCCGCCAAGTTCTGCATGCCCACAAACACGAAGCAGCCCGGGATCGCCTCCAAGTACGCGGAGAAATCCTCGCCGCCGTTGACAGGCTGCGTCATGGGCACAAACTTGTCCTCGCCCAGCACCCGGCGCGCCATCGCAGCCACCTCCGCGGCCACCGTCGCGTCATTCACCGTGCACGCGTACCCCGGCATGACACGAAACTCCACCGTCGCCCCGTGCGCAGCAGCCACGCCCCTCGCGACCGACTCGATCAGCGCGGGCGCCCGCTCCCGCACCTCCCGCGCAAACGAGCGCACCGTCCCCAGCAGCTTCACCTCGTCAGGGATCACGTTGTGGCTCTCGTTCGGCCCGGTCGTCATCGTCGTAATCGACAACACCGGCACCACCTTCGGGTCAAAGCGCCGCGACACGACCGTCTGCAGGGCCGTCACCACCTCCGCAGCGATCGGCACAGGGTCCACAAGCAGCTGCGGCGTCGACGCGTGGCCGCCACGGCCGCGGATGCGCAGCGCGAAGTTGTCCCCGCCGGCCATGATCGTACCACCCATCGTCCCCACGCGTCCCGTTGGCAGGTGCGGTGACACGTGCAGGCCGAAGATGCATTTCACACCCTCCAGCACACCCAGCTTCACCAGCTCCACCGCACCGCCGGGCGGCAGCTCCTCCGCGTGCTGGAAGACGAACCGCACCGTGCCAGAGATCTCCGCAGCGTGCGCGCACAGCACCTTCGCAGCGCCAAGCAGCATCGCCGTGTGCGTGTCGTGCCCGCACGCGTGCATCACGTTCGCCCTCTGCGACTTGAACGGCACGTCCGTCTCCTCGTGCAGCGGCAGCGCGTCGATGTCCGCACGCAGCGCAATGATCGGCCCAGCACCAGCGCCGCCAACAAGGTCCGCAACCAGCGCCGTCGGCACAGGGTTCGACATGCTCAGCGCAGCACACCCAAAGCCCTCCAGCACCGACCGGATGTACGCCACCGTCTCGTGCTCCTCGAAGGACAGCTCCGGGTGCGCGTGGAGGTGGAGCGTGCCCAACTTTGTCTCTGCTGTCATATTGTTGCCTTCACGGTCTCAGACGTGTCAGAGATACAAGTGGAAGGGCCGAACAGACAGAGGTGCCCGTCTGTATTCTCAGTGGAAATGCTGCGGTGATGAGCGTATTGAGGCTGGATGTCATCGCATTTCGCAAACGACCGCTCTGGAATACGAGACTCGCCACCACCTTTTGTGGGGTTTACCTTCAATTCGCAGGGGCAACGTAATGCGGGGCAATGAGGACCTCTATATGCTAATGCATTTCTTACTATGCTTTTGTTTGGTTCGTCGTCAACCTCCGTTCTTCTTCTGGATGTACAGCAGTTTTTTTCATATTCCACGCTCCGTTGCACAGTCACACACGCGTACACACACACGCACACGCACACGCACACGCACACCACCGGCGTTGCATGTTCTATCCTGGATTCTGTTGTATCGTATCGATAGTGCACGTCGTACGGTTTTCAGTTCCCTCTTCCTTTATAGCCGGGTGACCGTAGCCGTCGCCTAACGCCTGGCCGGTTGACGTGCGTGTGCCCCAAGTGCCTTGCTCCGCGTTCCACCTTACCGTATTTGTGTTCCCCCTTTGCGGTGTTCTGCCATGTGCGACATCGAGGCGCTGATGCTGGACTGCGGTGCGGCGCAGCCGGACGTGTTGACGTGGCGCAACGCAAAAACGACCGGCTCCCCCTCTACGGACGCTTGCTGTTGTTACTTTCCTAATCGCTCTCTGCAGAACCCAAAAGGAAACGCACGTTGATGCATGACTGCGCGGGTTGGTGTGGCTCAAGCACGTGGCTCGCGTTCACGGCAACACCACTCGCTGCCCACTGCAGCGTATCCCCGCAGATGGTTCAGTTCACGGAAAAGGTCAGGTCAACTGATGGCGGTCATGCACTCGCGTGACAACGGTCAGCGCTCGTCGAAATAGGTTTGAAGAAACAAAAGAACGCGAGGCGAGAAAGTCGCATTCCACCTTGCGACAATCATTAAAAAAGGAAATACGCACACACAAAGCGTCTCTAGAGAAACAGGAAAGCGAGAGGAGGACAAAGAGACAGAGAGAGCTGCACAACACGTTTTTTGAGGAAACAAAAACAAAGTGAGTGATAAATAATTAAAGGGAGAGCGTTTAAAGCGTTTTCATTGAAGTTTAAGCCAGTAAAGAGACGAACGAGCACGTGCGGGAGACGTGAACAGGGTGCGATGGCGTATCCTCGGAGAGCACACCCCAGCGCACTCATGCTCCTCACACGCACAGGGCAGGTTCCATCGATTTGCGCAGCGTTCGCGGCGGACGGCCCGTCCAAACACGAAAAGAAGGACGCAAAGAAAGAGCAGCCAGCGCCGCTCCTGCACCGTTCAGAGCCGCTGCCGCTGGGAACCGCCGCATGTGCCGGAGGGCAACGCGCACACGCACTTCTTCGCTCGGTCGCCGTGGAGCCACCGTGGAAGGGCGGGGGGGAGCGTGTTCAGAGGAGGCCTACGACGCCGGTAGTTCAGCACCGCGTGCTTTCCTCGGAGGGAAGAACAATAAAGAGGAGTAAGACACCACAGCCACAACAGCTACCTCGCCTTCTAGCTCGACGCACCAGACATGAGGTAGTGGTACACGAAGGCCGTGTGCACACGCGAGCCGCAGGTCAGCGCATCTTCATTCACCTTAAAGCGGCAGGTGTGCAGGCCTTCCACGGGGCCCGTTAGGCAGGACATATCGCCGCAGCCACACCACAGGAAGCACCCGGGAGCGGCCGTCAAATACCCAGAGAAGTCCTCGCCGCCATAGACAGCATGGGGCATCTCGATCACGCTCTCCGCGGACCCAAGCGCACGCCGGGCCACCTTCCGGACTACGTCCGTCACGGCAGGGTCGTTCACCACCATGTCGTAGCCGTACAGGTACTCCATCTTGTACTCCGCCCCGTGCGCAGCGGTGATGCCCTTCACAACCGCCTCAATGGAGTCGTGCACTGCCTTGCGCACTCCCACATCCTGCGAGCGCACCGTCCCCATAAGCTTCACCTCGTCAGGGATCACGTTGTGGCTCTCATTCGGCCCGGTCGTCATCGTCGGGATCGACACCACAGGCGCCACCTTCGGGTCCACCTTGCGCGCAACGATCGTCTGCAGGGCCGTCACCACCTCCGCAGCGATCGGCACAGGGTCCACAAGCAGCTGCGGCGTCGACGCGTGGCCGCCACGGCCGCGCACCCAGATGGTGAAGCTGTCGGTCATGCTTGTGAACGGCCCGCTCTTCACAGAGACGCAGCCGGCAGGAAGGTTGGGTGCCATGTGCATGCCAAGAATGTATTTCACACCCTCCATCACACCCAGCTTCACCAGCTCCACCGCACCGCCGGGCGGCAGCTCCTCCGCGTGCTGGAAGACGAACCGCACCGTGCCAGAGATCTCCGCAGCGTGCGCGCACAGCACCTTCGCAGCGCCAAGCAGCATCGCCGTGTGCGTGTCGTGCCCGCACGCGTGCATCACGTTCGCCCTCTGCGACTTGAACGGCACGTCCGTCTCCTCGTGCAGCGGCAGCGCGTCGATGTCCGCACGCAGCGCAATGATCGGCCCAGCACCAGCGCCGCCAACAAGGTCCGCAACCAGCGCCGTCGGCACAGGGTTCGACATGCTCAGCGCAGCACACCCAAAGCCCTCCAGCACCGACCGGATGTACGCCACCGTCTCGTGCTCCTCGAAGGACAGCTCCGGGTGCGCGTGGAGGTGGCGGCGCCAGCCGATAATCGCGTCTTTCGCAGCCGAGCACTCGGCCATCAGCTTGTCAAAGTCGGCCATGCTTCCAACGCGGTAGGCAATAATTAAATACAACGAGAATTAAGAAGTGTTAGATATCTACGACAGAAACGAAATGAAGAAGACTACGTTGCGTACCACAGGCAACAGAATAGCACGTAAACAGAGGAAAGAAGGGTAAAGGGCTCACACACACACACACACACACACACAGGTGCAGATGAGGAAAGCCATGTAGGCGGAGAGACATGCGGGACACCGGCGCGGCCATCACCAAAGAAGAACAGGAAAGAAAACCAAAGAGGCGGAGAGAGATGGCGAGGCGAGTTCGTCGATGTCGGCGACGGAAAACCAACATCACTTTAAATCTTACGGTCGCGACCCTCAACGCAATGTCGCACCTTCTAAAAGCCGAAAGGAACCGCCTTTCAGCTCGACTCCGATACGTAGAGAATTATGCGTTGAGACCGCCGACGCCGTGACCATCGCAGTAACGCTCTTTCCGTTTTTATTTACTTACTTGCGACGGCAGGGACAAGGTTGCGCACGTTCAACGCAAAAACGACCGGCTCCCCCTCTACGGACGCTTGCTGTTGTTACTTTCCTAATCGCTCTCTGCAGAACCCAAAAGGAAACGCACGTTGATGCATGACTGCGCGGGTTGGTGTGGCTCAAGCACGTGGCTCGCGTTCACGGCAACACCACTCGCTGCCCACTGCAGCGTATCCCCGCAGATGGTTCAGTTCACGGAAAAGGTCAGGTCAACTGATGGCGGTCATGCACTCGCGTGACAACGGTCAGCGCTCGTCGAAATAGGTTTGAAGAAACAAAAGAACGCGAGGCGAGAAAGTCGCATTCCACCTTGCGACAATCATTAAAAAAGGAAATACGCACACACAAAGCGTCTCTAGAGAAACAGGAAAGCGAGAGGAGGACAAAGAGACAGAGAGAGCTGCACAACACGTTTTTTGAGGAAACAAAAACAAAGTGAGTGATAAATAATTAAAGGGAGAGCGTTTAAAGCGTTTTCATTGAAGTTTAAGCCAGTAAAGAGACGAACGAGCACGTGCGGGAGACGTGAACAGGGTGCGATGGCGTATCCTCGGAGAGCACACCCCAGCGCACTCATGCTCCTCACACGCACAGGGCAGGTTCCATCGATTTGCGCAGCGTTCGCGGCGGACGGCCCGTCCAAACACGAAAAGAAGGACGCAAAGAAAGAGCAGCCAGCGCCGCTCCTGCACCGTTCAGAGCCGCTGCCGCTGGGAACCGCCGCATGTGCCGGAGGGCAACGCGCACACGCACTTCTTCGCTCGGTCGCCGTGGAGCCACCGTGGAAGGGCGGGGGGGAGCGTGTTCAGAGGAGGCCTACGACGCCGGTAGTTCAGCACCGCGTGCTTTCCTCGGAGGGAAGAACAATAAAGAGGAGTAAGACACCACAGCCACAACAGCTACCTCGCCTTCTAGCTCGACGCACCAGACATGAGGTAGTGGTACACGAAGGCCGTGTGCACACGCGAGCCGCAGGTCAGCGCATCTTCATTCACCTTAAAGCGGCAGGTGTGCAGGCCTTCCACGGGGCCCGTTAGGCAGGACATATCGCCGCAGCCACACCACAGGAAGCACCCGGGAGCGGCCGTCAAATACCCAGAGAAGTCCTCGCCGCCATAGACAGCATGGGGCATCTCGATCACGCTCTCCGCGGACCCAAGCGCACGCCGGGCCACCTTCCGGACTACGTCCGTCACGGCAGGGTCGTTCACCACCATGTCGTAGCCGTACAGGTACTCCATCTTGTACTCCGCCCCGTGCGCAGCGGTGATGCCCTTCACAACCGCCTCAATGGAGTCGTGCACTGCCTTGCGCACTCCCACATCCTGCGAGCGCACCGTCCCCATAAGCTTCACCTCGTCAGGGATCACGTTGTGGCTCTCATTCGGCCCGGTCGTCATCGTCGGGATCGACACCACAGGCGCCACCTTCGGGTCCACCTTGCGCGCAACGATCGTCTGCAGGGCCGTCACCACCTCCGCAGCGATCGGCACAGGGTCCACAAGCAGCTGCGGCGTCGACGCGTGGCCGCCACGGCCGCGCACCCAGATGGTGAAGCTGTCGGTCATGCTTGTGAACGGCCCGCTCTTCACAGAGACGCAGCCGGCAGGAAGGTTGGGTGCCATGTGCATGCCAAGAATGTATTTCACACCCTCCATCACACCCAGCTTCACCAGCTCCACCGCACCGCCGGGCGGCAGCTCCTCCGCGTGCTGGAAGACGAACCGCACCGTGCCAGAGATCTCCGCAGCGTGCGCGCACAGCACCTTCGCAGCGCCAAGCAGCATCGCCGTGTGCGTGTCGTGCCCGCACGCGTGCATCACGTTCGCCCTCTGCGACTTGAACGGCACGTCCGTCTCCTCGTGCAGCGGCAGCGCGTCGATGTCCGCACGCAGCGCAATGATCGGCCCAGCACCAGCGCCGCCAACAAGGTCCGCAACCAGCGCCGTCGGCACAGGGTTCGACATGCTCAGCGCAGCACACCCAAAGCCCTCCAGCACCGACCGGATGTACGCCACCGTCTCGTGCTCCTCGAAGGACAGCTCCGGGTGCGCGTGGAGGTGGATGGCGCCACCCGGCGATCGCGTCCTGTGCGGCCGAGCACTCGGCCATCAGCTGGTCAAAGTCCGCCATCGTCGATAAGGGAAATGAAGAGGAAAAAACAGAAGGCGCAGAGATAAAGGGAGACAGAGGGCCCTCAGCGGCAGCAGGGACTCGATAGGAGTGAAGGCTGAATCGGAGGCGCGTCGGTGACACACAGAAGGCCGCGCGCACGGTTCGATGGAGAACGGTTGGAAGGAAAGTAATAAAAGAAGCGGGGGGTCCTGTACTAAAATGCTGCCCACGTCGGCAAAGGCGGTGTTGAGCAGGCAGAGAGGGTACAGGAGCAGTAGTCAGGAGGCGGAGAGCAGAGTCATCGGGCCACAAGCCAGGCGCCGCCAGCTGGATTCGGTGAGAGAGGCGCAGGCGGCATCGGAGGTTGCTGCGGCACTCCGCAGCGGCTCGCCTCACCGCTGGCGTCTGCGGTGCGAACGGCAGCGGCCTCCGTCGCAGCATCGCACATACCCGGAAGCTGAACGCAGCGAAGGCGACGTCAGGCCCCGCAGCAGTCTACGACAATCTCTCTTCCTTCGATACGTTGGAATCGAAAAGAACGAGATAAAACGGAAGCGCTTCCTAAAAGAACTTAAAATAAGAGTAATAATAAATGTATTCATTTATATAAGAGGGGCGGACCGCGAGTGTCCAGGTGCACGGCCACACAAAAGGCTCTTCGGTGAATCCTAGATAAGCCAGTGTGCCCAGTCGGGAGGCGTTGATGGCACGCCGCACCTGGTCAACGGGGAAGAGCCACCGTGGTCTTCAGTAGGAACAGAGCGGGGGAAACAAAACAGTAAGCGCTTGCGGTGAAAGCGAAGGGGAAAGGCCGGCACACGCAGTCGTTTTGTGGCGATAAATTGGCCTCGGTAAGAGCAGTAAGAAACGCAGGTTTCAAAACGCGAGGACCGCGCGGGAGGCGCAAAACACAGTTTTTACTTGTAAAACAAACAGCGACACCCGCGCGCACACCACCATCTACAGAGCAGTGAGAAACGCTGCTTGGAGGGGGGGGAGGGCGTCGCTCAGCATCGTTGCTGGTCCTACGCATCCTCGCCGCCACCGCTCATCAGGTAATGATACACGAAGGCCGTGTGCACACGCGCACCAACCGAGAGCGTACGATCATCGACGTTTAACCGACACGTGTGCAGCCCCGGTGCCTTCGGGGCGTCCAGCGAGGGGTCTGTGCAGCCGATCCGCATAAAGCACCCAGGAGCCTTCAGTTGGTAGGCCGAGAAGTCCTCCCCGCCGAAGCGGGCATGCGCCAACTCCTCCACCGCCGTATCAGACCCAAGCGCACGCCGGGCCATCTTGCGCGCCACGTCCGTCACGGCAGGGTCGTTCATCACCGCCGTGTAGCCGTACAGGTACTCCATCTTGTACTCCGCCCCGTGCGCAGCGGTGATGCCCTTCACAACCTGCTCGATCAACACAGGCACCTTGGCCCGCACGTCCATGTCCTGCGACCGCACCGTCCCCAGCAGCTTCACCTCGTCAGGGATCACGTTGTGGCTCTCGTTCGGCCCGGTCGTCATCGTCGGGATCGACACCACAGGCGCCACCTTCGGGTCCACCTTGCGCGCAACGATCGTCTGCAGGGCCGTCACCACCTCCGCAGCGATCGGCACAGGGTCCACAAGCAGCTGCGGCGTCGACGCGTGGCCGCCACGGCCGCGCACCCAGATGGAGAACTGATCCGCATTGCTGCTGAGAGCACCGTTCTTGGTGGCGACCTGTCCAACAGGCAGCTCAGGTGTGCAGTGCATGCCAAACACGTATTTCACACCCTCCATCACATCCAGCTTCACCAGCTCCGAAGCACCGCCGGGAGGCTTTTCTTCTGCGTGTTGGAACATCAACCGCACCGTGCCAGAGATCTCCGCAGCGTGCGCGCACAGCACCTTCGCAGCGCCAAGCAGCATCGCCGTGTGCGTGTCGTGCCCGCACGCGTGCATCACGTTCGCCCTCTGCGACTTGAACGGCACGTCCGTCTCCTCGTGCAGCGGCAGCGCGTCGATGTCCGCACGCAGCGCAATGATCGGCCCAGCACCAGCGCCGCCAACAAGGTCCGCAACCAGCGCCGTCGGCACAGGGTTCGACATGCTCAGCGCAGCACACCCAAAGCCCTCCAGCACCGACCGGATGTACGCCACCGTCTCGTGCTCCTCGAAGGACAGCTCCGGGTGCGCGTGGAGGTGGCGGCGCCAGCCGATAATCGCGTCTTTTGCAGCCGAGCACTCGGCCATCAGCTTGTCAAAGTCCGCCATCGTTGAAGTAGGGGTTCGCGTTTCAGTGGATACAACGAGGAAGCACTGACGCCTTACAGCAACAGTGCACCAATAAGAGTCGATAAGGAAATGAAAGAGAAGAACTACCTAAAACTATTTAAAATAAGACTTACAAAAAAAAAAAAATAACGTTGAGGCTCGTAGAAGTGGCTTCCTTTTGTCTCCCCAGGTATATAAGAATCCCCGTCATGGCAAATGCATCGATCATGAGAGAAAAGGTAGAGAGAGAAGGACGGCATTTGCTGTAGGAAAGATAGGCGACACAGACATCGGTCCAGAAGCAGGACACGAAGAGGAGGGGAGGGAGGAGGAGGGCAAATGTCTGCCACGCATCGGAGCACCCACCCCTCCCTCCCACCCCTCCTCTCTCACAGAATGAAGGAGGCTTTGTCCTCCACTCAGTCCGGCCACAGGTTGTTGTTTTTAAAACTTCGAAAACGGTAGCCACGCATCAAAGCCACCGTGCGTGCAAGAGTCACGGCGCCACACTCGCACACGTAGAAGGCGGGAAAGCTCGCTGCTGCCGATGCACCTTCACGAGCAAGAGAAAGGGAGAGGAAGAAGAAGAAAAGGAACCGCCGCTCTAGCGCCTGTCGTCTCTACGTTCATGCAAACATCTTGCACGAAGACATGGGCGCCATTGCGACGCGCTTCAATGCCGTTCCTTCTCTCTATCTCGCTTTCGATGTTGATATGCATCTTCATTACCACCGCTGCTGGTCTTCACGTGATAGAAGAAATAATTGGCTTCATTTGCTCTTCTCGTTGGGGATTTGACTGTTTATATGCGCTGAAAAACACACGATGATCGCGCGCCGTAAAAGGGGAGAAGGAGAGGAACGCCGCGACAAAGGTAAAGCTTATATATATATATATAAAGAAATATATATAAAGAAATCTAAGAAAGATAAATATGAAGAGCTGCGAGGCCCCGGGAAAGAGAGGAACAGAGGTAATGTAGCCACAACAAAGAAGGATGCCGCCCCACACAACTCGCTCCTCTCGTCTCCATACACCTACACACACACACAGACACAGAAGAAGAAGAAACAAAAAGGGTCTACCGTACACCAGATGTGTTGCTACAATGCGACGATCACCACGACGATAGCGGGTTCTGCCTCGAAAAAAAAAAACAAGGAAAACGAATAATGAAGAAAGGGACTATGACAGAAGAGAGACGTGAAGGAAGCCAAAACAAAAACATATATATTGAAAGAGAGAGAGAAAGAGAAGGCGTTGATTTAAGCGCGCCCATTGCCACAATACAAGGACCTCGGCAAGGAGACTCGCAATTATGCTCCGGCCGCCACAAACCTCAAGCCCACTTTCCCATCGGTGTTGCGATGCTGTTCTCTGTCGTTCGCAGAGGTATACACAGCTCTCCTCTCTCCCCCTTCCCCCGCCACCCCTTCGGGTAAGGGACTCTTCCTAGGATACGATGGTCCTTAAACACCTCTTCACTCTGGTCAGATACAAATGCTGCCACACCTACACGCTAAGCAAGAAACAAGACGAAGCAGAGAGAAAACAAAAAAACTGAAGAAGCTAATCAGCCGAATCCGCATCCTGCTCTGTTCACTTGCTTTGTATTGGATCCTCCTTCGTCTTTCTCATTTTCCATTTTGTTCTCTCTCTCTCAGGTGGTGATGACGCAGGAACTTCAACGCGCGACGCGCCGTGAGGCGGGCCTGGGGAGGCACCCACTACGACGCCCAACGCTTGAAGAAGCCGGGGGTAGAGCGGAAGACGCCTACGCAGCAAACCAAAGCAAAGAAAAAAGAGCAAGGGAGAGAACAGATGGCTCTCTTGCAAAGGAGAGAACGAAAAAACTATGCTCTAATAACTCACACGCGTGGACGGCGGTTGCGCATGTGGGATGCGAGAGGCGGCACTGACGGCGCTATGCGAACTCTGCAGGAGTAGGGAGGAGGAGGAGGAGGACGGTACGATCCGGCCGTAGAAGAACAGAAGAACAGAGACACAACGACGCCTCAACGAAAGTCCATACCGCGTGAGTTCTTCTTTTCTCTTTCTTTCCCCTTTCTAATGAGAAACAACAACTTCTCGTATGGTAGCCAAAACAACAACAAAAACAAAGCAAGCAAAAGGAGGAAGAACAAGAAGAGAAACAATGAAGGAGAAGTTCCGTGTGGGCGGGTGCGCAGTCACACACACAAACACAGAGAGACAGCGAGAGAGAGAGAGAGAACTGGAAAAAAACGGATTAGTAAGCCAGAGCAACACACAAACCGCGATCCGGACAACGAGTAATAACAACTTTGAAAAGGGGAAAAAAGAAATGGTGGGTGCGAGTCAGGCGACAGCGCACAGACGCGGCGCCTTCGTCCACTGTCCATCGACAGCAACACCATCTGTTCTCTTTCCGCTCGTAATCCCCCTCTGTTCGATCACTCATCTCCACGTCTTACGAGCGCACGATGATTTGGAAGATCTCGCAGCTGCGCAGCACCTGCACCAAGAAGTTGTGATGCTCGCAGAGCACCTCGATGTACTTCTGGAGAGCTGGATTCGTCGTGCGCTCGTCTTGCGGCACATTCGGGAATTCCTGCAGCGCCTCCTCTTGGATCTGCAGCGCGCGGTTCGACAGCACCTCGCGCAGGTGTGAGAGGGAGTGCAGGGAGTGGCCCGCCACGTCCAGAATCATATCTCCGGCCTGCAACTGAAGGTCCTCTTCCTCGGCCTTGGGCAGCGGACGGGCCACGCTGACAACCTCCAAGTTCTTGTTGATGGCGCAGCCCACCATGCCCTCAATCGCCAGCACAGCACTCGGTGGGTAGTCCATGTCCTCGGGGCTGAAGGTCATGTAGTGGAAGGGCTTGGCCTGGCGCTGTGTGCTGACGCGGCGCCGGCGCAGGTCCTCGTCCTCCTCCTCCACCTCCGGTACATGGGTCAGGATATTCTTCAGACCCGCCGCGAAGAGCTCCGCGATCACCTCAAACGCGTCTTGCTCATCTGAAAGAACGGTGCGCCGGTAGAACTGCTCTTCGTTCACGAGGCTGGCAAGCTGCTCCCGCTCGCTTAGGCGCCGCTCCAGCTGCTCACGGTTCTGCGACAACATCCCGTCTAAAATGCCGTCCCACGCGTCCATCTCCGCCCCCTCCATCGCAACCCGCTGCAGCATCTCGCGCTGCACAACGTCGTCCTGACGGTAGAGGCGGCGCCGGCGCTGCTCATCCGCCACGAGCTGACGCCGCTCGTCCGCCTCCTCGTCGATCAACTCCCGCGCGAGGGCCCGCATCGTCGGCGGGGCGTGAATGGAGGACGGCGCCCGGCGGCCGTCGCGCGTGAGGGGGGGCGGCGAGCGGTAGAGCACGTCCAGCAGCTCCGCCATGGCCTGCGAGCGGATCACCGCCCGGTCGGCGATCTCGTCGGAGATGAGGTCCGCCATCGCGGCCGCGAGCTTCTCGTTGTTCACCGGCGCGTGGCCGGCACGCAGCTCCTCGCCACGCGCACGGCGCCCCGCCTCCTTGCGCTGCGCCTCCCAGGCGGGGTTCATCATCGTGTTGAGGTCGCCGCGTGCCTCGGCTTCCTGAGCCGCGATTTGCTTCCGGCGGTCCTGCTCCGAGGCGCGCAAATTCATCAGCGCGAGCGCCCGGCGGTGACCACCGAGCAGGACGTGCATCTGCCGCGCCGCCCCGACCTCCACGGCCGCCCGCCCCACCCGCTCCTCCTCGTCGAGGTTCGCCATCGAGGTCGAGAGCGTCTCCTTCACCTTCGAGCGCACCGCCTTGCCGATACGCTGGCGCTCCTTCGCCTCGGCGTAGTCGATGCTGTCGCGCATGTACTCCTCCTCATTCGCCAGCTGGGCGATGTTGTCGGCGAGCTGGCGGCGCAGGTCGCCCAGCATGCGACGGCGCTTCTTCGCCAGGCGATCCTCCGCGGCACGGACGCGGTCCTCCACGCGGGCCTCGTAGTGGTCACGCAGGCCATCCGGATCGACATCGCCGGAGACGGACGTCGCGTCGCTGCCGCGGCGGCCACGGTGGTCGGAGGGGCGGCGGCGGCGGCCTCCGTGCGAGGACGCCGCCCGCGAGTTGCGCCGCGGTGCTGCGGCTGCCGTGGTGAGGGCCCGTGGGAGGGCGGAACCGCCCTGCGTCCCCGTCAGCGCCGCGGCCCCGTCGTGCATCGGGTCGTAGAGGTCGCGTGCGTCGTAGAAGCGCTGGAGAAAGCGAAACGGGCAGCCGTTCATGCGGCGCTCAACGCCGTCGCGCTCGATCTTGGCGCGGTCGTAGCGGATCTCCGCCGTCACCCGCATGCCCGGGCGGTCCACGACGAGGTTCGTGATGGTGACGAGGCGACGGGGGAGCTTCATCGCGAGGCACACGTCGATCTGCGCGTTGAAGCGGATGTCGGCTTCGTAGGCCGGGTAGACGCGGCCCCACTCCTCACCAAAGACGTAGCGGTCGATGATAGCGGTGCCGAGGTCGACGTCGTCCGGTCGCGGGGCGGCTGCCGGGTCGTGCATCAACGCCCACTCCGCCGAGGGGTTGTAGCCGGCGTGCTGCATGATGGGGTAACCGCCGCTGCTGCTCTGCGGTACCACCATCAGCTGTCCGTTGGCGTAGGCGGAGCTGTTGCGATGCGGGCCGTTCACCGACGAGTTCACCGAGACGCCGCGGGAGCCCTCGGCCATCGGGTGAGAGCCGAGGCGCGCGTTGAGCTCCTCCGTCTTCCACTCGTACTCGCGGCGCAGGCGGGCCGCCTCTTCCCGCTCACGCGCTGCCTCGTGGTGGAGGGCCTCGACCTGGGCCAGGCGGTTCTCCATCTCGCGCAGCCGGCCCGCCTCCTCCGCTGCCGTGGTGGTGGCGTCGATGGGTCGACGGGCTGCGGAGCTGGGGGCGCTGCCGGTGCGACGACGCGAGAAGCCATTTGCGGCCGCCTCCGCCGCTGTCCTCAACTTCGCCTCCTCCACCAAATACGCCTGGTGCACCATCTCCTTGTGCAGGTACAGCATGAAGTGCAACCGGTGGTGCTGCATCTTCTGTACGTTGCGGATGAAGACGTCCTGCTCCGTCTTGATGCCACGCGAGACAGTGCTGCGGAGGCTGACGCTCGCGCTGTTGCTCATCCCGTGCGTGTCCGCGCGGGGCGAAGCACGACGGTGGGAGGAGGAGTGCGCGCGGGGACTCGTGCCGTGGCGGCTGCTGCGTGGAGGAGTCGTTGCAGAGCGCCCATTCCGGTGCGGCGAGCGCGTCGTCGTCGAGGGATGGCCGTTGCTGCGGGGTCGGGTGTCCGACGCAAACTCTCGCTCGGCGGGGTCGACGCCGGCGCGGCGGTGAGAGGCGGAGTGGGGGCGCTGCTTCGGGCTCGTGCGGTTCGGCGTGCCGGCCGCCGTCGCGTTCGCAGTGGCGCGGCCCGGCGCAACGCGCTGCTGCGAAGAGCGGAAAGACTGAGACGGCGTCGTCATCGTCACCGACGTCACGTCGTCGTTCTCGCGCCGGCTGGGCAGACGTGAACTGCGCGGCGTGGACACATCGGTGCGGGTCACCGAGGACCGCGAAGCCATGTCATCGTTCTCGCGCCGGCTCGGCAGGCGGGAGCTACGCGGTGTCGATACGTCCGTCGCGGGCGGCGTTGCGTGTCGTCGGCCGCCGCTGCTGCTGCGTGGGCGGGAGTGATGGCGCTGTTCGTTGTGGCGGCTGTAGCTGCCGACGCTGGAGGTGGTCGAGCCCGGCGTCGCCGTGTCGCGCGGCTGCGGCGGGTGGAAGGTCTCCTCGGCGTTGCGGCTCAGCAGGACCTCGACGATGCGGTCGCAGTCGGCGAGGGAGCTGCAACGCAGCTGCAGTGTTTCCCACATGGTCGGGTTGTCGGCCCTCGCGCGGCTGCTGGTGCTGCGAATAGAGGCGTCCCCGTTGCGCAGCCCGGCTGTCACGGCGGCGTTATCGAAGAGAAAGCTCGACCCCCGCATTAGCGTCACGGTGTTCTTGCTGCGATAAAACTGAATCAGCGGGAGGCTGCACACGCCGATGAAGGTGGCGCGCTCGTTGGTGGCGGGATCGCGCGTCGTGGCGGCGCTGCCCGTCTTGAACACCGTAAGCGTCGTCTTGGTGATCGTCACGGTGCCGTGGAAGAGGCGGTGGCTGTCATCGGGGACGAAGTCTATCGCCACGGTGAAGGGGGCCGCGGACGACATGGCTGACCCACTGAGCTCGTCGGTGCTTTTTCAGAGTCTTTGTGTGTGGGGGGTGGAGGCGTGTGCTCTTCGGCAGCAGTCTTAAGAGGAAAGAGAAAGTCCAGGAAAAAAAAAATCAACGCCGTCTCCTTCTCGTGTTTTCTTTTTCCCTTTCCACTGCTTGCGTTGGTGCGCTCCTAAAGAATGCAAGAGGCGGCACAGTTTTTCGTTCTCGCGACGGCACAGAAGATGCGCGAAGAGGAAGCAGCAGCAGCAGCGGTGAAAAGGACGGGAAGGTGTAATTAAAATGCAGATCAAATATATATATAGAATTAGAAAAAAGCTCTACAGAAGCGAACGTCGCCCACACAACGTACGTACGTACAAAGGATGGGGGGGACGAAACAGGAGGGAAGAAAAGAGAAGGTGAACCGAGGAAACTAACGATGGTCAGGGTGCGTGCGTGGGTGCGCGTCTTTGCCTTACTTACTTTTGTTGTAATCCTCCACCGATGTACGTCGACGGGGGTTCTATTCTTCTCAGGCTTGCTAAACGTACAGGCACAAAACAAAAGGATCGAGTGTGCACAGCGCACCTTCAATTGAATATGAATGTGTGTGTGTGTGTGTGTGTGTGTGTTTGATTGATTTCTTTTAGTAAAGAACCAGAGCAGAGACGCTGCAGAGGGCACTTGACTTTCACAACAGCGGCAAGCCAGCAACGACAGAAGATACAAGAACAGGAGAGCAAGACGACGGAGAGCGTGGAAGAAGCAGAAGAAGGCGCGGAGGTAAAAGATTCTTCTTTTTCCCTCTTTGGGCGTCCGGGGAGAGAGAGGGGGGGGTCTCGAGAACGCCGAGAAGCGGAGACGCAGCTGCTTGCATCGTCGCTTTCCTCCCATCGTGTCCTGCACGATATTGTTTTGTTCTTCTCTTTCCTCCCCTCGTCTCCGCTGATAAAAAAGACGGCAAACGCGCTGACGGCGTTTGGCGTAAACGGAGCCGCTCGCTACACGGCGGGGAAGGACAGCGGGTCGTACAGTGGCCTCCGCCGTGCGGTCCCCGCGCCCCCCCCCCGTCCTCTCTCTTCTCCCCATCATCGTGTGTTTGCGTCGTGTTTGTGTG